TTCCATACGGGGCCCCCGGAAGTCCCAACCCTTTCCCCGGAACCAGTTTTTCGTCCCGAGTTGTTTTTTGACGGTCCTGAGGCCCGGCGAGAGCCCCCCGAGGACCCCTTGCGGAGGAGGAGGAGGAGGAGGAGGAGGAGGAGGAGGAGGAGGAGGAGGAGGAGAAGAAGAGGAGCAGGAAAGAGGAGGAGGAGGAGGAGGAGGAGGAGGAGGAGGAGGAGGAGGAGCAGGAGCAGGAGCAGGAGGACAAGGAGGAAGGAGACGAGGAGGAGGAGGAGGAGGAGGGGGAGGAGGAGGAGGAGGAGGGGGAGGAGGAGGAGGAGGAGAAGGAGGAGGAGGAGGAGGAGGAGGAGGAGGAGGAGGAGGAGGAAAAGGAAGAGGAGGAGGAGGACCAGGAGGAGAAGGAGGAGGAGGAGGAGGAGCAGGAGGAGGAGGAGGAGGAGCTTGGCACAGCGTGCCGCTCCACGGTTCTGGCCCCCCCCCCCGCCGCCTCGGCGCCCATGCGCCGCGGGCTGCCCTGCCCTGCCGACGACGACGACCACGACGACGACGACGACGAGGGCGAGGGCGACGACGAGGGCGGCGACGACGACGACGACGACCACGACGACCACGACGAGGACGACGGCGACGACGACGAGGGCGACGACCACGACGACGACGACGACGGCGATGACGACGACGACGAGGGCGACGACGACGGCGACGACGACGAGGGCGGCGACGACGACGAGGGCGGCGACGACGTCGAGGGCGGCGACGACGACGACCACGGCCCCTCACGACGACGACGACGACGCGACGACGACGAGCGGCGACGTCAACGGCGACGACGACGACGACGGACGCCGACGACGACGGACGACGACGACGACGAGGGCGGCGGACGAACGACGACGACGACCACGACGACGGAGGGCGACGACCACGGACGACGACGACGAGGGCGACGACGAAGACGACGACGACGAGCACGAGGGAACGACGACGACGGACGGTCGACGACGACGAGGGCGCGAACTAGGGGCGACGACGACCGACGACGACGACGACGAGGGCGGCGACGGACGACGACGCGAGGGCGGCGACGACGACGAGAGGCGCGACGACGGACGACGGACGACGGCCACGACGACGATGACGTCGACGACGACGGACGGCGGCGACGTCGACGGTCGAGGGCGAGGACGACGACGACGACGAGGGAGCGACGGGGGAAAAAACGGACCCCGATGAGGGCGACGACGACGAGGGCGGCGACGACACGACCAGGGCGGCGGACGGACGACGAGGGCGGCGACCGAGACGAGGGCGACGACGACAAGGGCGGCGACGATGAGGGGCGACGACGACTACGAGGGCGGCGATGACGACGACACGACGACGAGGGCGGCGACCGACGGACGACGACGACCTCGACGACACGACGACGAGCTGCAACGACGACGACGACGACCACCGACGACGACGACGACCACGACGACGACGACAAGGGCGGCGACGACGACGACGGCGACCACGACGACGACGAGGGCGGCGATGACGACGACGACGCCGACGACGAGGGCGGCGACGACGACGAACGACCACGGCCACGACGACGACGACGACGAGGGCGGCGACGACGACAACGAAGGCGGCGACGACGACGACGGTGACAACGACGACGACGACCACGACGACGACGACGACGACGAGGGCGGCGACGACGACAACGGCGACGACGACAAGGGCGGCCACGACGACGACGGCCACCACGACGACGACGACGACGACAAGGGCGACGACGACGACGACGAGGGCGACGAAGGCGACGACCACGATGACGACGACGACGAGGGCGGCGACGACGACGACGACGGTGGCCACGACGACGACGACCACGACGACGACGACGACGACCACGACGACGACGACGACGACGAATGGCCGGCGACGACGACGAGGGCGAACCGACGACAAGGGTGACGACACGAGGGCGACCATGACGACGACGACGTGACGAAGAGTCGGCGGCGGACGAGGAGGGCGGACGAACGGGACGACGACGACGACGAACACGACGACGACGACGACGACGACACGACGAGAGCGCGACGTACGACGACCGGCGACGACGACGACGACCACGTACTACGACGACGGCGTACGACACGACGACGATTGCGACGGACGACGACGACCGAACGGACGAGGGCGGCGACGCGACGACGGCGGCGACGAACGACGACGGACGAGGGCGCGACGACGACGACGACGACGGCGATGACGACGACCACGACGACGACGACGAGGAGCGGCGGCGACGACGACGACGACGACGACGACCACGACTACGACGACGACGACGAGGGCGACGACGTCGACGACAAGGGCGGCGACGACGACCAAGGCGACGACGACGAGGACGGCGACGGACGAACGACGACGACCACGACTACGACGACGACGACGACGGCGTCGACGACGACGACGGCGACGACGACGACGACGACGACGA